CTTTCATTCTCGATCATGTGTCAGCCCCTTTAAACAGATACTTACTGTCTCTCAGAAAATACTCTTTCATACAAGTGATTTGCTAATTAGCTCGGTCACTCGGTGCTAAGAAAAAATCCCATACTATTACGACTGACAGTAAAGTTGCTCAAGACATTCTTTTTTTTTTTGAATTTTGAATTTGAATATTTGAATTTGGAAATTGATATTTTGCTGTGTGTCTTGTGCACTGTAGCGAGTAAAGGTTCAATAGCATAGTTCCGAACGCTATGTTCGACCTTTACTTCTATCCTATGAATTTTCGTCGTCCCGACGTTTTTTTTTTTTTCGTTATATATATATATGTATATATATATATATATATATATATATATATATATATATATATATATATATATATATATATATATATATAATCGTTGTAGCAGCGCGTGCAATGCTTTCGAGGTCATCGTGAACACTGAACAAGGCTTGTGGTTCGTTTATCCACTTTGGCAAACTCATGGTGAAAGTACAGTTCTGGAGTGATATATCGGTACGTTTGTTGAGTTCATCTGGCTTCTATTTCTATGTAAATATTGCGTAAATTAAATCTTTATGAAAGAAGCGAAATCCCTAGGTTGCTTGTAATGCTGTGATTGGTAGTATATGAATAACTGACTTTCTACTTTTTTTTTTTTTTTTCAAACAGGTGATAAAAATATTTGTCATTAGTTATCGGTTACTTTGTAGGGGGATATTTTCGAACGCAATTACCATTTATTCCTTTATTTATTTATTTATCTTATCGAAATGATAACACTTCTGGAGGACGAGGCGGCACTTCCCCCTTCTACCAACACAGGTAGTCAATTATAGCTGCATCTTTCTTGAAACATGAAAACGCTTCATGCTTTAAACATTTATTTATGACAGCTAAATCAAATAAAAATGCAAAATCACCGAGACCTTTGTAAATGCTTCTCGTAGCTGGGCCAATCGATTTAATGGGTTGTTTCCTCTGCATTATATTCCTCATTAAACCGGAATATGGCAACAATGAATGTATATTTTCTTTGTCACTGCATGCGTGTGCGTGTATATGTATAAATGTATGTGTGTGTCGTCTATGCTTGGTGATGAGCTAAGGAACAGGATGTATAATTCGTTTGGATTATTGTGAATGCCATTTATATGATGCTAAAATCTAATCATAGCTTCGGCTTTTTATATTGTATAGGTTATTATCAAGATGATATATAGAAACTTTAATTTCGTGAGAAAGGACGAGCATGCCAATTTTATCTACTGTAAACAGGAGGAAAAGATGCATATATGACAAATGAAAGTAAAGAGCGTGATGCAATGCCCATTTCATCATAATGACAAAGATCTTTTTTGAAGATATCAGATATCATACAGCACATGTATTGGGAATCGACTCATCTTTTAACCCTCTCTAGTTGCTGCTCGAGATGAAACAAGCAAACATGCATGCTCTCGCTCAGCTGTTTGAAGGTGGATGCGTCTCCTCATATTATAATAGCGAAATCTAGAATCACATTAAGCACAGGGAATCCAGAATTACCGAAAACGAATTATACATACTGCATCGCAATCATCCCCATGTATTGACTAAATTAACCCTAATGTTGCTTTGCATTCAGTTTTCTAATATTAAAAATATATGTTTGGCTCTGGTGAAAAGAAAAAAACGTCATTAAATAAATTACATTAGCAGCAAACACATGGTGAACATAAAAGAACCATTTACAAAGTACTCGGCGATTTTGTAGATTTGCATTTGATTAACCTGCTATATTCAAAACAATTTTTCTTTTCAAGAAATGTGCAGCCACAATCGATACTTGTGTTGAAGGAAGCGGGAGGGCGAATGCCGCCGGGCCTCTATAGGTGTTGCCATTTCGGTGAAGAGGATCTCAGGAAATCGCATTTGGAAAATATCTTGCTACAAAGTCGACGATAACAAACGCCACTCATTTTGATATCACTTATTTGAAGTAAAAGAAGATCAAATGGCTTACGTATTTCCAAGATTAGATGATAATAGACATTGGTTCTTCATATTTTCAAAGCGACAGTCTGTTACAAACACCCCAGGGGTATCGTATTGGGATCTAAACAGTATCTTTTATTTCAAAATCACACTAGTTTGAAGTTAATTTTATTTTTTATTTGCTCCTTTTGTGTGTTTTTGTCTCTTCTTGCTTAAATGAGTTAGATGCTCAAAATCTATTCATTAATTGTGCTCGATGATTTAGTAATGAAAGTCCAGTGATTGTGTTCATGCATGATGCTCGCGATAAGGAACAACAGCAGAGACTGTTCGCGTTGCTCTTCCATTCCATAATTCGAGTTTTTATCGTGAGATTCAATAATCCTTTTGTGAGGATTTAATCATATATCCGTTGTGATGAATTCAACAGATTTTGAATTAATTGATAGTGTAGTTATAATTTATCTCACACGGAGTCTTATTGGAAAATTATGACAGCTATTTAAGAGTTTTTTGACATATTGAAAAGTTGAGGCGATAGATTTCACTATTTCGTCTGTTAAACTTGAACTTAGTATTAAAATGATTGCATGCTTCACATATAAAAAAACACAAACTCTCCATTCCTTGTCTATGTTACTGTAAATCTTTCTTGCCTTTACTAAATCTGCCGTTTTTTTTCTTTCTTTTTCTTTATAGTTAATATCGTTCAGCCACCTGAATTTGCTTAATATAGTACCAGTCAGCGGCTACAAGCGCTCGGCCCTTTTACGAACCGCCAGTGCATAAGTACCAGTTCTCGCGTTGGAGGTCGACCTTGGCTGGGAATGTGTGACGCCGATTGCATTCACGAGGCCGAAGGGGGTCAGGCCTGCATGGCGGAGAGGAGGTCAAGACTGAAAGGCTGTTCCATGGATGATGATTGCAACGTTCGTCTGCAGGACCTATATCTGTTGCACTCTTACACAGATCTGTGCAATGAACAGCTTCCATCTTAAATATTGAACAGAGCCATGGACGAAGACATCACTTTTTAATATTCAGTGTTAGCTTTATTCTTATGAGATTATAGGAGATTCTGATTTTTATTTTGTTCTACCAAAACCAAAGGAATAGTTGTTCCTATTAATTGCTGCCCATAAAAGTTATCCCATTCAAAAGTCGAGACAAAAGCGCAATCCCTGTCGTCCTTACAGAGTCTAAGCTGCGTTTGATTGGAGGAAATTAATCTGATCTTTACGGCTTTATCTAACAGGTTGCATGCTTTGTGTGTGATCATTTGTAATTTATATGATCAAATTTATTTTCCAGGCCTGGATTCCTCCTATCAAGGTCACTGCTGCAAAAACTTTTACTCGTAAGTTTTTGTCTCCGCGCACATACGTATACATATATACATAAAATGGATTCATATATATATATATATATGCATGCATGCACACACATACATACGCGCATACACCCAACACAACACAGAACACCCAAACACGCACACACACACCATAATCTATACCCAGAATTAACTCTCTTTGACTCTCTTCTCCCAGCCTCCGACCGCATTGTGGGGGGGGGGCGAGGCAGACTCGCACAAGCACGGTTCCAGGCTGCTCTCATGGACAGTGGCCATTTCTTCTGCGGCGCGGCGCGTCATCAGTGACCAGTTTCTCCTGACAGCTGCCCATTGCGTGCCGGAGTGAGTAATGGTAATGATGATACTGATGATAATAGTATTGTCAATAATATTGATGGTGATGATGTATTTATAAAAATAATGATATAATAAAAGCGACTAGACTGAAACAGAAGATGTATCAATAGTGAGTTGTAATATATATATTTTTTTCTATTCATATATGAGGATGAAAATGTGCTATTTCACAGAACATATTTTAAAGATTACCGATGCATAGTGTTTTTCTCATATCATGTTTAGCTTTACATTTTCCTGTCCGCATTTACAAATATTGGATATATTCCTGTTAGATGCATTGCGCAATGTGGATAATTATATAGGTGATGTATCATTATTTACATTCCCAAATGTTCATTGAATTTCGCGTCAAATGTTAGAATTTTTATTGGATTTTTAGAATGTCAGAATCTTTTATTAGGTTTCTAGCAGTACAACTTTTTATTAGGTTTCTAGTAGAAAGTGAGAAATTTTGATTGCATTTTCCTGAAGGACCTTAGAACTTGAAAATCTAATCTTTCATTCTCGATCATGTGTCAGCCCCTTTAAACAGATACTTACTGTCTCTCAGAAAATACTCTTTATAACAAGTGATTCGCTAATTAGCTCGGTCACTCGGTGCTAAGAAAAAAATCCCATACTATTACGACTGACAGTAAAGTTGCTCAAGACATTCTTTATTATGTGAATTTGGAAACTGATATTTTGCTGTGAGTGTCTTGTGCACTGTAGCGAGTAAAGGTGCATGTCCTTTCTATAGCATAGTTCCGAACGCTATGTTCGACCTTTACTTCTATCCTATGAATTTTCGTCGTCCCGACGTTTTTTTTTTTTTTTTCGTTATATATATATATATATATATATAATAATATATATATATATATATATATATATATAATAATATATATATATATATATATATTATATATATATAATCGTTGTAGCAGCGCGTGCAATGCTTTCGAGGTCATCGTGAACACTGAACAAGGCTTGTGGTTCGTTTATCCACTTTGGCAAAACTCATGGTGAAAGTACAGTTCTGAGTGATATATCGGTACGTTGTTGGGTTCATCTGGCTTCTATTTCTATGTAAATATTGCGTAAATAATATCTTTATGAAAGAAGCGAAATCCCTAGGTTGTTTGTAATGCTGTGATTGGTAGTATATGAATAACTGACTTTCTCCTTTCACTTTTTTTTTTTTTTTCAAACAGGTGATAAAATATTTGTCATTAGTTATCGGTTACTTTGTAGGGGGATATTTTTCGAACGCAATTACCATTTATTCCTTTATATTTATTTTATCTTATCGAAATGATAACACTTCTGGAGGACGAGGCGGCACTTCCCCCTTCTACCAACACAGGTAGTGTCAATTATAGCTGCAAATTTCTTGAAACATGAAAACGCTTCATGCTTTAAACATTTATTTATGACAGCTAAATCAAATAAAAATGCAAAATCACCGAGACCTTTGTAAATGCTTCTCGTAGCTGGGCCAATCGATTTAATGGGTTGTTTCCTCTGCATTATATTCCTCATTAAACCGGAATATGGCAACAATGAATGTATATTTTCTTTCACTGCGTGCGTGCGTGTATATGTATAAATGTATGTGTGTGTCGTCTATGCTTGGTGATGAGCTAAGGAACAGGATGTATAATTCGTTTGGATTATTGTGAATGCCATTTATATGATGCTAAAATCTAATCATAGCTTCGGCTTTTATTATTGTATAGGTTATTATCAAGATGATATATAGAAACTTTAATTTCGTGAGAAAGGACGAGCATGCCAATTTTATCTACTGTAAACAGGAGGAAAAGATGCATATATGACAAATGAAAGTAAAGAGCGTGATGCAATGCCCATTATTCATCATATGACAAAGATCTTTTTTGAAGATATCAGATATCATACAGCACATGTATTGGGAATCGACTCATCTTTTAACCCTCTCTAGTTGCTGCTCGAGATGAAACAAGCAAACATGCATGCTCTCGCTCAGCTGTTTGAAGGTGGATGCGTCTCCTCATATAATAATAGCGAAACCTAGAATCACATTAAGCACAGGGAATCCAGAATTACCGAAAACGAATTATACATACTGCATCGCAATCATCCCCATGTATTGACTAAATTAACCCTAATGTTGCTTTGCATTCAGTTTTCTAATATTAAAAATATATGTTTGGCTCTGGTGAAAAGAAAAAAACGTCATTAAATAAATTACATTAGCAGCAAACATATGGTGAACATAAAAGAACCATTTACAAAGTACTCGGCGATTTTGTAGATTTGCATTTGATTAACCTGCTATATTCAAAACAATTTTTCTTTTCAAGAAATGTGCAGCCACAATCGATACTTGTGTTGAAGGAAGCGGGAGGGCGAATGCCGCCGGGCCTCTATAGGTGTTGCCATTTCGGTGAAGAGGATCTCAGGAAATCGCATTTGGAAAATATCTTGCTACAAAGTCGACGATAACAAACGCCACTCATTTTGATATCACTTATTTGAAGTAAAAGAAGATCAAGTGGCTTACGTATTTCCAAGATTAGATGATAATAGACATTGGTTTCTTCATATTTTCAAAGCGACAGTCTGTTACAAACACCCCAGGGGTATCGTATTGGGATCTAAACAGTATCTTTATTTCAAAATCACACTAGTTTGAAGTTAATTTTATTTTTTATTTGCTCCTTTTGTGTGTTTTTGTCTCTTCTTGCTTAAATGAGTTAGATGCTCAAAATCTATTCATTAATTGTGCTCGGATTTAGTAGTGAAAGTCCAGTGATTGTGTTCATGCATGATGCTCGCGATAAGGAACAACAGCAGAGACTGTTCGCGTTGCTCTTCCATTCCATAATTCGAGTTTTTATCGTGAGATTCAATAATCCTTTTGTGAGGATTTAATCATATATCCGTTGTGATGAATTCAACAGATTTTGAATTAATTGATAGTGTAGTATTAATTTATCTCACACGGAGTCTTATTGGAAAATTATGACGGCTATTTAAGAGTTTTTTGACATATTGAAAAGTTGAGGCGATAGATTTCACTATTTCGTCTGTTAAACTTGAACTTAGTATTAAAATGATTCCAAGCTTCACATATAAAAAAACACAAACTCTCCATTCCTTGTCTATGTTACTGTAAATCTTTCTTGCCTTTACTAAATCTGCCGTTTTTTTTCTTTCTTTTTCTTTATAGTTAATATCGTTCAGCCACCTGAATTTGCTTAATATAGTACCAGTCAGCGGCTACAAGCGCTCGGCCCTTTTACGAACCGCCAGTGCATAAGTACCAGTTCTCGCGTTGGAGGTCGACCTTGGCTGGGAATGTGTGACGCCGATTGCATTCACGAGGCCGAAGGGGGTCAGGCCGAAGGGGGTCAGGACTGCATGGCGGGAGAGGAGGTCAAGACTGAAAGGCTGTTCCATGGATGATGATTGCAACGTTCGTCTGCAGGACCTATATCTGTTGCACTCTTACACAGATCTGTGCAATGAACAGCTTCCATCTTAAATATTGAACAGAGCCATGGACGAAGACATCACTTTTTAATATTCAGTGTTAGCTTTATTCTTATGAGCTTATAGGAGATTCCGATTTTTATTTTGTTCTACCAAAACCAAAGGAATAGTTGTTCCTCTTAATTGCTACCCATAAAAGTTATACCATTCAAAAGTCGAGACAAAAGCGCAATCCCTGTCGTCCTTACAGAGTCTAAGCTGCGTTTGATTGGAGGATATTAATCTGATCTTTACAGCTTTATCTAACAGGTTGCATGCTTTGTGAGTGATCATTTGTAATTTATATGATCAAATTTATTTTCTAGGCCCGGATTCCTCCTATCAAGGTCACTGCTGCAAAAACTTTTACTCGTAAGTTTTTGTCTCCGCGCGCACATACGTATACATATATACATAAATGGATTCATATATACATGCATGCATAGACACACACACACACACACACACATACATACGTGCATATACCCAACACAACACAGAACACACAAACACGCACACACACACCATAATCTATACCCTGAATTAACTCTCTTTGACTCTCTTCTCCCAGCCTCCAACCGCATTGTGGGGGGGGGCGAGGCAGAGCCGCACAAGCACGGGTTCCAGGCTGCTCTCATGGACAGTGGCCATTTCTTCTGCGGCGGCGGCGTCATCAGTGACCAGTTTCTCCTGACAGTTGCTCATTGCGTGCCGGAGTGAGTAATGGTAATGATGATACTGATGATAATAGTATTGTCAATAATATTGATGGTGATGATGTATTTATAAAAATAATGATTATAATAAAAGCGACTAGACGCGCTCGAAGTGCATATACCTCCGTTAATGCAGTAGTGTAACTGATGCAGTAAAAAGATTCAAACTTGAAGAATTAAATAATAATAATAATGATAATGAAGATAATTTAAGTGTCTATCTCGCATTGCTAATGAATCCTAAGGTAGACAAAGACACATCTTTATCTGTTCATAACTTTTTGAGTTGTTCTGCTAACCAAGGAAAAAACAATTAACACTCCAACAGACAAACTAAACAACACTACCAAAACACATAACTTCCTTGGCGTGGGGTAATAACATTACCAGTATATGCTGGTATATGTTTTTAATTAACTGTTTCTGCACGATATTTTACAAATTCTTAACATTTTCTCCTTTTTTCTTCGCCATATTCATCATCATCATCCTCCCTTCACTCCCCTTCACTGATTATCCTTTTTCTTTTCTTTTTCAGGAAAAGGAACGTGGAGATGCAGGTACTTGTGGGCGGCCACAATCTAGAGGTGAAAGAGAGCACTCGGCAAATCAGAGAGAGCATTTATTCATCCGAATTATTCACTCGACGAGGGCATAGCGAGCGACATAGCTGTTTTGAGACTGAAACAGAAGATGTATATCAATAG